TAGCCTATATAGTATAGTTAAAACATTAAGGCCCATAAACAAACATAGGCAGTAGGTAAGCCTTGAGCAACCTAACCTGCCAATTCAACTTAAGAAGGCGCCTACTGAACCATACTGGACAAGGACAGGTGGTAGCCTTTCAGACGATGCTTACAGTCCCACATCGAAACTACAACCTAAGGTCCCTCACCTTAGTCCTCTATAAATAGGGGCACAAATGCCCAAAAGTAAGGTAGCAGTAACATTCAGCTATTTAGCCCTTACTATGTCCAAATTACTATTCGCATCGTCCTTATGGTGACTTAAACATCAGAGAACCTTTAATCAGTACTCAAGGTTTTTCCATTGCTCTTTGTGTTGTAGATCATCCACGTCTGTTGAAGGGCCCACAAGACCGAAGGCATCATACTTCTAACTTGGGTACATAAATGGTCATCCATTTTTGGATATCAACAGAATGGAAGTGCTGCATATGATGAGAAGGTTTCAGATATTGAAGTTTCAAAGTTAACGCCTTTCTCATAATTTTCTTGGGTGTAAGGTTCTAGGTGAACATAACGTCCGTTCACATAAAATGCTAGTTATAATTTTCTTAGTAATTGATTTCCATGTGTTGTTCTACTATTTGTCCATACTATCACCTAGCAAATGCTTCATGGTAATTCGATACAACCTACTAATTTCTCTGAAAATTGGCTAAAACTTTGCTCGTGTGGATATTGGATATTGGTTCTTGTTGTGGTCTTTTTGTTCTAGCAGCCTGACGAATGGGCTTGGGCTACCGTAAGAAGAAAACGAACAGAAATTCCCCAAGTATCTGAGTTTAGAAACCAAGCTCCTAAAAGAGTTTTTGAAAGGTTCGATGAAACCTTAGAAAAACACCCTCAGGTTCTTTCACCAATAGCCAAATAAACACGATAGATTGATTAATGGCTTAGTATGAGGAGCTTGTGGCATGGGAGTAAAACAATCATGAGTTTAGCATAAACAGAGAGAGAGAAGCGTGAGTTTCTTACAGAAAACAAAGGGTTAAAATGGAACAGAGGAAGATTATGGAGATTTCTTTCTTAGAGAAAGGAGAAAACAAACGAGGAAGAAGATTGGGTGGCTTGAGTAAATTCCCCGCTATTGACAAAGCTTTGTCAGGCTCTGGATTGTTGATTTTACTGGGTAGAAGAAGGTCCTTTTTATAGGCACAAAGAATCCCTAAATTTTTCTAACCTCTTTCTTCCTTTTTCGTTGCTTTTTTCCACTCAACCCTATTCAGTGAAATTTTCCTATCCAAGGCGCATGGGTAAGAAGCCCTTTGGGGTTCCAAGGTTTTGATGCAGCTAGACTTCTCCATAAGGGTGAGGCGCCACCCACTTTCTTCCCTGGTTTTCCTATGGAAGCTAACAGAGGAAAAGGAGAATGGGCAAACCGTTCTGTCTAACGAGTATCCCTTCTTCTCATACGAATTTCTTTTGGTTTCTAGGGCGGCTTCCGTTGACTCTGTCATAGGGCTTTGGGCAAAGGCTAAACACGGTACTAGATATTTTGTAAAGCATTGGGCTGGGCTTTTCCCAAGGTTTTGTGTCAATGGTACTCTATTCTATAGCGACCAATTAGCTTGATTTCGTCAAGCTGCTGGAAGTAGTTTTCCTGTAGCGAGGTATTTGGGTGCTCTAATTAACTTAGGGTTTCCTAAGCAACTATTGTATTTTTTTTCTAAGGCATCGGGTTATGTTCTCTCTCTCATGATAGCCCATGTGTTTGGGCTCAAGAAATGGGCTTGAGTTTTGGGGCTCCCAAGTAGCCTAAAACTTCCATTTCTTGGCTCATCAATGGGCCTCATGAAAGCTCATTACCATCCATACCACAACCTACTCAAGCAAGCCCCGGGCATCTTCCGTGGCTTGAGCCCACTTAAGCTTGTAGTGTGGTTAGGTGTAATAATAATGATTTTTCGTTTGGCATTGCATGTCGCTTGGCGTGCTTGAATTTTGTGGCTTGAAGAGGGATATGACGCATGACAGGATAATAAGCTTGGGCTCGTAAAGCCAGTGCTTATTTCAACTCTTAGTATGACAGATTGCATATTTATTTGGCATGGCATGTGGATCATGACTGGTGCGAGCGTGAATGACGAACTTTCGCGTGCTCCAAATCGTGTCTTTTCTTAATAAGGCATTACGTTAGGCCAAGAATTTATTTGGGCCCAACCCTGGATTTTTGGGCCTCAATAGTTCCATATAGCAATATTTTATAACTTTGAAAGCCCTCACTGTTGCAACAAATAAATAGTTGACTTTGTGACGTCAAAATTAAAAGCACGATAAAAACGTGGGCTTATGTGCAATGGGCAAATTGGTAAACTTACAAGACGAAAACACTCAGCCATCACCATTTAATTGATGTGCCAAATATATGCGAAACAAGTTACTTAAATGAAAAATAAATAAATAACTGATGGAGTAGAGTTGTGAGAGCCTCTTGATTATCAAATTCACATTCATACATCATGTATTTGAACCCAATACCTTTTCTTTTCTTTCTTTTTTTCTTTTCTTTCCAAAAATGATTTTCCAATTAGTAGGTCCAAGGCTTGGGGTGTTTTTTTAATAAATTATGTAAAGGAAAAAGTTTGGCTCCTTAAAATTGAGGAGGAGCTACTTCTTACAACCTATGTGGTTTTGTCACGTGCCAATTTTTTTAAATTTTCTTTTTTGTTGAAACTTTGTCAATGTTGCTAGAATTTGACAAGTGTCAAAACCCCATTGATTTTAAGGAGGAGCTCCTTCTTAATTTTAAGTAGCCAAGCCTTGCTCTTATGTAAATAGGATACTACTTGAATCATTACTCGTAAGGAGATACTCCTCCTTCATATGAATGACAGTTTGACATATATGCAAAAATAATTCATCAAAAACACAAAAGGAAAAACTTATGCACACATATCACAATGCTATCAGTAGGAATGTAGAAACTCTTACTTACCTGGTACGGAGGGAAGTATTTTCCATGTAAATACTAGTATTTTTAGGGAGTTTCACTATTATGTCCAATATAGGGGCCCAAATTATTTATTAAAAAAAAAAAAAAACCTACATGAAATAGACTTTAAAGCACCTACAATCATGCTCCCTATTTTTTAGTTAAAATCTCATTCTTAGCACTAATAATATAAATAAATCCTACATCATTTAATTTCTATAAACAAACCCAAAAAAACCCACAAAATGACAGCTGGCCCTAGTAAATTTAATTTTGATTATTAAATTATTTTGATGCCCTATAGAGTGTTTTGAGCCTTTTTATGAGGTTTTGAGGTTGAGTTTGTTTTAAGAAATTAATGATAGTTTTGTAATTTAAAAAAAGTTAAAAGTTTTTTTGTTATGTTGTAAATAAGATTTGGGTGTGTTTCTAAAGTCCATTTCATATAGGGTATTTTTTATAATTTGAGCTCCTATATTGAGTATAATAGTGAATCTCCCTAAAAAGTATTAAAAGATAAAAAGGAAAGAAGAATGGAAAAATCACCCAACACCACAAAAAATCGGAATAAAAAAAAATACAAATTTATAAATAAACCTAATCTTAGACATGTATTTATAAAAAAACTCAAGTACTATTTAAACATTGAAACACACCCAAAATCAACCCCAAAGTCAACTTTTTGGGTGTGTTTATAAATGCGTTTTGAGTGTGTGTAATGATGGGTTTTGGGTGTGTTTATAAAGTGTTTTGGGTGTTGGGTTTTTTTATAATTTCAACCTCCATTTTGGGTGTTTTAGTGAAACTCCCTAAAAAAAAGGGGTCAGCTACGTTGGTCATATATGTGGGTTAGATAAGGTTAGTCTGTCTCCACTGTAACCACAACGATATCCAAAACCAGTGACATATATGTGATTCTCAAGAGATGGGCAAACAAAGATCAAACTTCTCATAAAAATGGCAGCCAAGTTGGCCCTCTCTTCTCCCACCACAACATTTCTAGCCTCCTCTAGCCCAGCACTGCTATATCCTCCTTCTTTCACTTCCATTTCACCAAAGAGGAGGGCACACAATTTCAAGATTCATGCAGAATTGGGTAAAAGAGTTCTTTTTTTCTTTTCTTTTCCTGTATTTGAATGTAAATGATGTAAATCTCATAAATTTCTTGTTATTGCTTGGTTTTTTTACAAATGTTTGTCCCAAGTGAGACTGAGATGATAACTTGAGAAGATTTCTTCTAATGCTTTTAGGTGGTGGAGATGGAGAAATAAAAAAGGAAGGGAAGAAAAAGTTTATAACTAGAGAACAAGAGCCAGAGCAGTAAGTTTTCCACTCTTTATCAGTTAACAGTTTATCTATGGTCACCTTCTTAAGAAAGTGTTGATAAAAAACAAAAACAATGTCAAGGGAGTGATTCAAATAGCATAAGGAATTTACCATTTGCAATTTTGCAGGTACTGGCAAACAGCAGGAGAAAGGGAAGGGGAAAATCCCATGATGACCCCCCTTCCTTACATCATCATATTTGGCATGTCCACTCCTTTTGTAATCTTAGCCATTGCTTTTGCTAATGGTTGGGTTAAGGTGCCGGTTCGATGATTGGCTGCAATTGCAGCTTGGGGAGCAGCAGCAACAACACAAGAGTTTATAATATTATTCAGTTCATTACACCTTAGTTCTACCATTTGAGTTCTTCTCAAATGCTAGTTTTTTCACCAATTTGTTTGATACATGTTATGAGTTTCTCAGATATATTGATCACAGTTGGGTCCTCTTGTTATTGTTCTTGGCTATGGTTAAGAAGGCACCACAATGTTTGTGAAAGGAAAGAAAACCTTTTTCTTTTTCCCTATTGGCAATGGGCAGTGTTGTTTTTTTTCATTTTTGGTCTTCACATAGTATCTCAGCTAACAAACTTAATGAAATCAGAAGCTCAAAATAATTGATGAAAGGGCACATGATCATATCCAAATTGAAGTACTTGAAATATATTTGGCAAACAATCCAATTTTCACAGTTTTGCCTACATTAACTGCTTTCTCAACCTACTGAATCATTACAATCCTCTAATCAATATTACATCTATAAAATATTCTCTACTCCCATAATAAGATAAAAAGAACTAATGATTTGCTCTTCTCAATGGCTTGTATAATACCGCCGTAACAAGTTTTTGACGAAACCTATGTGTAGAGCTGAGTGCAAAAAACTTGCCACCAACATGGTTCTGGATGTGCAAATGGTTCAATTGTGAATGATGAGGCATTGGCAATGGCTGGTCACCACCATTTGAGGAGGATGGCTTGTTTAAAAATGCTTCTTGTAGCTGTGGGGGTACTTCTGGCGGAGGTTTACTGAAATCATCTTCACTTAAGCGCCTGTTATCATAGCTTGAAGGTGGGGATGGAGGAGATTCGAACTTTGCGAGACGCTCACGCAAATCTGAAACACATTCCTGCATAATGCATTTTGAGAGTGAAATCGGCTGAAGCAGCATTAAACTGACAACATGAATAATTTCTCCAAATATGATAATCTATGATTTTCATCTGTCAAGCCATAAGATGTCGGTTACCTCAAAATTAGTATAACTCATGCAACATCTCTTTTATTTTGACTTGTTTGGAGAGTAAACTAATAGAGGATAGGTTTCTTTTATGCCCTTTTCGCTTATGCTTAGTTTCCAAGTTTTCTTCTTTTAGCTCCTTAGCTCAGAAAAGAGCTGTAGAGAATATGTTACCATGTACAGGAAGTCTACTTGAGGTAAGAAATAATATAGACATAAATACAATCCGATTTACAGCAGGAAAGCTAATTGCTAGGAGGATTTTGTGAGGTTGACTTCCGTGTGTGCTAGGAAAGCAAAGCTGTGTTAACAAGAGCTTTAAGAGGAAGTAATTATCATGACTTCCTCAATTCCTATAATATAATGTGCAAAGACAGAAACAACTAACAAGAAAACTCCAATATGATGCAGAGCAATATTACAGAGATTCCTCTGCTAAGTGCAGAAGGAAGGTTATCAGCAAGACGGTTTCACAATGCACTGAAATGTCCTAAGCAATTGGATGGGCCAAATATGATTGGAAAGTTATGTACATATCATATTAGTAATTGGAGACTCGGGGAGAATTTAAGGTCCCATTCATATTTTGGTCTTAAAGTTCCAATTAACAATCTCAAGCAAACTGTGGTTGATTTACGAGTTCAAACACAGACCGAGATTATCCGACGTTAGGTCCTTACTCATAAGCTCATCCTGCAATGCAAGTAAAAGCAAGTAGAAAGAACCCAATCCTGTCATGTGATACAGAACATTCAGTTTGCTTGCTAGTAAAGTTGAGATTTTGCCCAATAAAATGTTGAAATCAAGTTTAGATAACCTTGTCTTAGGCATTTTGTGTAAGAGGGTGAGTGCAGGTGAGACAGATTGCTTCTATACTCCTAAGACTTTTCCTGATAATACTTGATATGTAAACTGATCTCCACTCAACTAAACTTGACCTTCATCCCAAAAGTACATGTATTTAACCTAAGTGCAAGATAAACCCTTACATATAATGAAAAAGAAAGGGAGCAAGAGGCCTAGTACAAGGAACAGAAGAGTTTTTCATTCATAGACCAGCCATTTGAAGTCGTTATATTTATTACCTGCAAGTCCAAAACATTATAGGCACTCCCTGAATTATCATAGACCCATGGCAAGTCTGCAGCACATCTCAAACTCCCGTCAACAATGAAGCGGTACTGGTAGAGACCTGATGGAAGCAACTTTAAGATGACGAAATCTGTGCCAATACTCTGCATGAGTTCACTGATAGGAGGTGAAAGTTATTCATATCAAATTATGATTATGTCAAAAACAGAAAATGAAGTTGGAAATTTAATGATGAAACCGCTATGTAACTTAGTACCTGGTCTCCCAATTATCCCATGATCCTGTGATAGCAACTTGCCTACCACCATGGTTCCATGATATCTTTGCCCGTATCAATTTCTCGTTGTGTACATATTCATTATAAACTGAATGTTGTGATAATGCCTCAGCAGGTCTTGGTAAGGGGTCCCTAGGATTCTGAAAATGTAGATAAAAATTTAGAGATTTTGCAGAACATAAATCTAAGTGATAGCTCTAATATGCAAGGGAAACTTTCTTTTGCCTTTTATGCATCACATCAATCCTAGTGCAAAGATAAAAATCTGAAATCTGACAAATTCAATTAGAAAACCAGAGAGAAGAACCTTAGCAGAAGGATACATTTTTCTTGAAACCAATAGGTGTATAGCATTTGGACGTTTATCAAACAAGTATTGACTAGATTCATCTTCAAAGTAAAGGTAGAATGTCAACAGATATCACATGTAGTTTTTACTTGTTATCTTTTGACAATTAGGCTCACCCCATTGCTTGAATAATCAAAGAAATGATTGTCAGGAGACAAAACAGCACAAAGAAACTCACCATAACTCAAGACAATCACATGATGCCACATTTCTTTCATAAACTGGTAAAATTGCACTGAACTAAAGCAAACAACTTTCACCCCTTTACAGTCTTCTTGTCAAATTACAATTATTAATCCAAATAAACAAGTAAGAGAGATGCCTTTTTGAGAAACTCTTCTTCGAACTTCTCTTCTGTCAACAAAGCAAAAGCATACACACATGATATTCTTGAAAAAAATAGAAAAACACAGAAAAGAACTCACTTGTGAAGTGAAGAAGAGAGATGGGTGGAAAGCTCTGGGGCTATGGGGAGGAGAGTGAGCCATGGGTTCTACATATCCATCATCCCCTTGAAAGTTGTAAACTTCAGAAGGGCCTTCTCCATCTTTTCTACCACTGGCATTACCCATTACTGAAAACAAAGGAAACCCAGTTATAATCTGATTTATATTCTTATAATTATAACAGAAAAAAAAAATTCAAAAGGGAAAAACAGAAAAAGAAAAGAGAAAAAATAAATAAATCTTCCATGATGAAGAAATGAAAAGGCGAAAAAACAGACACAAGAACAAACCCAAAAACAGAAAAAGCAAAAGACCCAAGTGACTAACTTGGGTTTTTGATTGATGACATACCCATCTCTGTAAACAGACTGCAAACACACAAGAAACCCAACCAGGAATTGACTGAAGGAAAGGTAGCATTATTTTTGCACCTTCACTTACAGACTTTCTTTTTTGCCCTTTGAATTTTTCTTTTTCTGTGTAAATGGACAGCACAAGTAGTTCTCTCTCTCTCTCTCTCTCTCTCTCTCTCTCTCTCTAATAACTGGCTCAGTGTTGAAAAGGCAACTGTGCATAAGGAACAGTGAATTTGATTCTCCAATGAGTTTGGAAGATCCTACGGTGGACTAATAATGGTGTCTGTTTCAAAGCAGAAGGTTGCCTTGTGTTGTGTTGTGGCTTGTGTCATTTTTACGCTCTGTTTCCTCAGTTGTTGCTACAACTTGATGCAGCAACCAATTCCAGCCTGCCACCTCACTGCAGTGAGTTAGCTAGTTGGTTTTGATTTTACAGTTTTAGGCCTCAAATTCACCAGCGCGAGCATGGCACTACTGGAATAAGACTCTTCTCTTGTATGGACCCCTAAAATCTTCATTCAAAGAGTGCCAAGAAAGCCACATCATAAAGCAAAAGCTGTTTGTTGAATTTTCCATATTTTAATTTCTTATTCCTTCTTGTGAAATGTATTTGTAATTGTATTTGCTTAAAGAGAATCATTATGGACATATTCCTCATAAAAATATAAAGAATAAACTTCACGACCAGAAGTGCACGATGACTTTTTAAAAATATGATATCACTCCATAACAAGAAGTGCATGATGACTTTTTTAAAATATGATATCAAAATATGATGTATTTAAAATACGAAATATGTTTCATAGTTTTCAACATAAGTACAATATCAAAATAAAAATACAATAATTTGTACGTAATTTGTATATATTTTACTTCAACTAGACTGGCTATAACCAAAAAGTATGTTGTTATTTATTTATTTATTAATATATGTTTGCATATTAAAATATTCTGTTAGAATTAAAATGCAAGAAAAGCATCCATTGAGAATTCATTCTTTCCCTTTTGCTCGATCAGTGTCTTTTAAAATTGAGCTTTATTCTTGTGCAAGCGACATTGACAATGTCCTGCCCGTTGATGGAGAGATTTTAGCATCAAAACAAACCTAAACCTTTAATTAACAAAGTAAAGCCACGTCTAAACCCTATTCGGCCTCTCAAGCAAAGCACAATAAAAAGTTGTCTTCGAGTTTCAAACCCCTTTGTCTTATGTAGTTGAGGCCATTTGGAACACCCCATTAACATTATTATTCAGTTAATCACTGATTAGCTTTGTGTTTAGGCAAAAACATGCTTACTTTCCCATAGGCTATATCAAACCACTTTTGGATGGTGACAATTCTCTCCTAGGCATTGTTTGAAGTATAAGGTTAAACAAATCATAATCAAAATTTTGACTGTATCAGTTGTCAACATGCACATGAATAATTGATTAATTCAGCATTAACGAACCAGTAACTCTTGAATGATGTTGTTTAGTAAACTCATTGCAATCATGAATTAATCTAACACCTTATACAAATCAACTTACTCATCATAACTTTGTTTTTTCAATATAGAGGTGAGAAATCAAATCAATCACATGAAAGTCTTGAAATTTTGGCATAGTTAGGCTGCTTTTGGCTAGTTCACCCATCTATGTATATATATACAACTAGTAGCTAGATCTTTCATGAAGTACTCCACCCTATATGGGAAAAAAAAAACAAAATAAAAGGCCCTTCCTATAGCTATAAGGGTCCAAAAGTTTAGATCTCTCCATGTGAGACTTGCTTATATAATATACCAATGAAATCGAATATGCCAACTATATCATGGCTAGGTGCAAGTTGAGCAGGTTTTGAGTACCCTCCAATGTAGATAATATAAGAAGCCAGAGACACATGAGATCATAGAATTTGGGAAGTGGGCATCTCTCTCTCTCTCTCTTTCTGTTCATCCACTCAATCATATAACAAGCTAAAGGCAATGCTGCAGATGCTAACAAATCCTAGTCTTGCAATTTCCTCTCTCTTTCTTTTGTGGATCATTTCATTTGGGCTCTCATAAGTTAACGCATTAGTGCAAGAATCTAATGAGAGTGAATTTTCCCTCTCAGAGAATACTTGGCAAAGAAAGCAAATATAAAAGTTATGAGAGAGAGAGAGAGAGAGAGAGAGAGAGAGAGAATTGACAATATCTTTATTATAATGAAAATAGAGAAAAAGTACAAAAATATATATAGGTTGGTAGTTAAATGTTGGCATCACATAGGTGGGAGATGCGACACGAGAAGAGAATCTGCTGCCTGGGTCAGTGTCTATATGGCCATTGGAGGACAGCAACCTGTACTACACAAAATGAAAATTATATGAAATATATATGTAATGCAAGAATCATCGTTTTCAACTTTCATTGCCATGAAAAATGAAAATGAAATTTCAATTATATATCTAAGGTTCAAATTGTTTTACATGAACGTTAACTGGGCTGGACCGTTCATCCCTTGAAAGTCGCTTTACAAGTCACTCATTTTGTTTGTATAAAAAAAAAAAAATTTAAAAAAAACTTTACATACTTGAAAGCGAATAAAATGATCCTAGGGAGTTATAGAGCAATTACAAGAAATAGCTTAAGGACTATTAAAGAGGTGGACAGTGATGGATCTAGGAAACCCTATAAAGATCATTGAGAAACCTAACGATTTTTTACATATAAGCACTCTTTGTCAAAAGTATCCCTAAGAGATTACTTCAGACTTACGTAACACAATATATCGAATAACACATTTCCATGTGAAAATAAAATGCAAAAATTTGTAGATAACTACACTATTTTTTTACACTTTCAAGCTCACGCGTTTTGGACTGTGCATCAATAATGTGTCAGAGTGTGTCTTGGACTTTGACTATTGAATATGTTTTCGTTGTTAAAAGAAATCGTAATGTTTTTTTTAAGACATTTTCTATTGAGATGGACGATAATATACTATATACTCACACACACTACACGAATGCTCGGACTCAAACCCAAGACCTCTGATGTTTAGCCTCATGATTTGTACCATGGAAGTACTTGTTTGTAACTGGCTTGCCTTATTTAGCTTGTATTTGCGCTAGAGCAACTACTAATATGTTAATCATATAAAACTCAACGTATGCATACTGAAAATTTGACTTTTAATCTGCAACCAAAAACTAGGCCAGCACTGTAAATTAAATTAGTACCAACAGTTTATAGGTAGCTCTAGATTCAAAGCACGATTTGTGTTATCCAAAAAATTGTACAATTACGATGAAACATTCATGGAGTCTTAGATATGGTCCCCTCCATTCTCACAGCTCAAACATTCCTTGAGTTACACAGATCTCCAACACCAATCTGGTCAAGACAAAAACTTCTCAGACCCCCAAACACATTTTCATTTTGAACCAAGTTATTAACAATATCAAGGTTGTTTCTCAATGTCTTGTAGTTAGGGAACTAGGGTTTCATGTCTGTGAGAGACTGCTTTATCGTAGAGCTACCACACGCAAATGGGCGACAAGTGGCATCATCTTCGTTGCCTTAGTTAATTTCTTTCACAGCTGCACAATGTTACTTTTACTTGTTTCCCATGAGGACAGTATTCATGTTGGTATTTTGACGTGCAAGGAAGATTGGGGAGAAGATTAATTATTCAAGTGGTCCACAATGGGAAAAATACCGAGAAGGAAAGTCTTTTGAGATGGATGGGTTGCTCATGGATTTTTTAAAAAAAACTAATGAAAGAATTGTCTTTGTAGTTATTGAAATATTGGAAGAGATGAGATTCGAACAAAGAGCTTTGGGTGTAGAGGTAACTACTCTATTACGCGTTGCTTGATCAGAAAATTAACAATATAATATAAAATGTTTATCCAATGAATTGAAGGATACGATAAGTGTCTTATTAAAAGTTTAACCAATTAGTTACGCGGCAGTCATATATATGCACATTAGACAAATCCCACTAAATCTGTTGACACCATAGTCAATTTGATTTTTGTCATACTAAGTGTAATAATGTTCATGTTAATTTCTCAAAGTGAAAGGCTTTCAATGATCCCAAAGGGAGCAAAAGCTTGAATATAAGTAAAAAGTCTTCAACCCCCTCGACATGATTTCATGGCATGGATGAAAGACTAGGCCATATATCCCACCGGATTATAGGGGAGTGGGGCAATGCAAGCATATATAAATATATGCATGGTTGGTAGAGGCACATAGATGGCCCATATGTTAAAGCATACTTGAATATATCATCATTAGTGTCACAACCCCAATAAACACAAAAGTATGAATCACGATTAACACTCATAAAGCTAATAGCTATACACACGCATCATCACAAGAATGTCAACATCTTATAATGTTTATCCATCAAAATCAAAGATAAATAACCTATATTCATGATTTAGAAGTTGATACTTCTTTTTTTCTTCTTTTTTTCTTTTTTTTTTTTGCCCAACATTTTGTTGCCAAGAAACTAAGCACATTATGGTGGGTTCCCAACTAGACGGCTATTGTCCCAAACTTTTACTAGTTTAAGCAAGAGTGGGGTTTATTTCAAAAGATTTCACTGTGATTTTAGCATTTTTCTTCTTTTAATGTTCTCAACTAAGAACTGTAGACCACTTTTTTTCTTTTTCTTTTGGATGAGTAAGTGATCCCATGTCTTGTTTGCTTCATCCCCCTCACTGCTTATTTTCAAAGAACTTGGTTTTGAAATAATTGAGCATGGTTTTCTGTAGGGCGTATATGGTTTTACTTACACAAGCCAGGTGATCAATGCATGTTGCATATGCATAAGCTTGATGTTATTGCCACAAGAGGGAAAATTTGACTGAAGGATCTCTTTAATTTGAATGCTAGCTACTCTTCCCATAATTTACTGCAAAAGAAATGGTAGCTTTCAAAGATGATGCCCCAGAAGACTGTGAAAGCAATTTGGTTTCTGCTGAAAAGTTGGTCTTTTGAGTTGGTTTGAACAAGCTAGCTGATCATGAAGGAGAACAAATTTCTGTTAATGGCTGTGGCTGGTTTAGAGGAGAGATAATAAGCATTATGTTTGATGAAAGTCAGGTACAGTACTTCTAATATACATTAGTCTTGGAGTTGACGAAGATATATGAATGAATGGAGGGATAATTAATCTTAGTCCACTGTTTTTTTTTTTCTTCTATTTATCTTTCTTTTTGTTGGATTGAAGTTGGATGGAAAGTGCCATGTGGTGAGCTCAGATGGGTGCACATGGTTTCTCTCATTTCCCAAGCTTTCAGAGTGTAAACCAATACAGGGAAACCAAGGGGTTTTGGGTTTTTCAAGAGAATCAGTTGCAGAGTAAAACCTACCTGATTGGTGTTAATTGTTATTTTTTTTTAAACCCAGTTTTTTAGGTGTAATGGGGGCTTGGGAACTGTGAGTTTGTGATCAGAGCAACCACCCCTTCAGTAAAACTCCATTTTTATAATAAATTAAGTAGTATTTCTTCTTCTCCTTACCTTGCTTGCTTCTTCTTTGCAAACTCGTGTAGTTACCTACTGCAGCTGGTTCCTTGCTGTTCATGCCTTTTTCATACAACTATTAATATCAAGTGCAGTTTCTTGTTCAAATCCCACCTAAGCCTTTCCTTTTTTTGGTTTTGAAGTATATTCAAATATTTGAGCAAGGAAAGCACTGGAGATTTGTAGATTGTGAATTGTGTTCTCGAAAGATTCTCTCTATCCTAGATCCTTCATTTTGTGCTATAGATTTGTGACTGCTATATTTTTTTGCTTATTCTAGAGTTGAAAAGGCCACTCTACCAGCTTTCTGCTATAAATTTTTGTTCCATCATTTACCCTCAGTATTCTTCTGTACATCTCTACCAACTTATCTACTGTACATGCAATCCAAGTTCCAACTAAAGGGAAAGTTCTTCTCTCCACTTAGCTTAATTGGTTTTCTTTCAATAATTACTTGCTCAGGCTTCAGAAATTCATGGAGTTGAAAAACATACTTGAGGATCAAATGGCTACTGCTTTGTGGTTCTTCAGGTTCCCACCACCATGGATGGCAGTTGTTGCTCCATTTCTTATATTGATGGGATTAATGGGCTTTGGGTTCTTCTCCATCTTCCTAACATCAATGGTATTGATTCTGTCAACTGTTTTCTTCACATTTTGTAAGCAAAAACCTGTTCTGGTTGAGAAGTTAGTTGAAGAAAAGGTTCTCATCAGGTGTGACCAATCGTTCTCTCCTTGCTTGGAAGATGCATCAAGAACACAACATGATGAGGAAGAAACTGCTGCCTTACAAAAGAAGGAAGCTCAAGAAGAAGGTATGAACCCTGTTCATAATTACTTAGGAGCATCACCATGTTCACCAGATTTGATATCAGAAAGAGAATGCCTTGATCACTTGTCAACTAGTGATGAATCTGAAGTAGACTGGTCATTTGGAGACAACGCGGTTCAGAGTCCGGATTGCTCAGACGGTTCCATCTCCGACGAGGATAGCCTCATCGAAATAGCCCTGCCTGGCGGATACTATGTTGGTCATAAGGAACAAGACTCAATCTTTAATCTGCAGCAGAAAAGGCCAGGTTTGTCACACCAGTCCATCTTCCAACAGCATACTCTATTGGAGCTCTTAGCTGAGATCAATGAGATGAATGAGGAAGAAAACTTGATCGAAATCGACTTGTCCATGGGCTCTATCAAGTGTTCAAGGTTTGAGATTGAAGCTTGAGTTACCCTTTTTTCAGAGTTCACCATATTTAAGTTTTTGATCCACCCTGGATTTTGGTTGAAAGTTACATGCTTCTGTGCTTTTGCTACCTTGTGTTATATTGTTGTGCACTGTGAAGCTCCTGCTTTTTGACAAACTTTGGATACCCCATTAAAGCATTTGTACTATGCCACTTTATTTTCTCCTAATGCACATTAAATTAAAGTACTAAGAGTTTAAAGGTGAAAAAAACATTTGATTTTGATGGAATTCCCACTTGCTTTTCCTTTTCTGCAGAACCTCTTTTTGCTGTCTATATGGCCACAATGGTCACCATTTAGATCTCTTCTATCACTTTTCTGGATTCTGAAGGACAATTCAGGATTAAGATTCAACCTTTTGTTAAATCAATAAACTAGATGTTGACTATTAGCATATGCAATTAATGCATTAATCATCAATTTTTAACTGGATCAGATCTTCAGACTAATGTATGCTCTCTTTTTTCTTAATGATTCTGAACAAATATTTGACAAGATCTCATTTTTTTTGACTGAGATCAGTACAAGTTCTGACTTTTGTTTTACCTTCTATGCCAATTGCTCAATGTCCATAAAAAGTAGGTCAATTCAGACTAAATTTACAGTTGATTGTGCTTTTAATCACTCCATGGCACTTCAAATTCCATTGCAGGATCAAGCAGTAAAAAAACTTGGAATCACTTCTCTCAATCATTTTTTCTTTTATCTTGGTGAAGTTCAACCCTCCTTCAATATGGAAAATTTTCTTATGAAATTTATAGAGAATATCTCTCTATTTTTTTTTTTAATGAAAAGAAGTACAAATAGTAGAATTTCATTCCCAACAGCGATCTCTCTTCTTTTTTCTTTTTCAATTCACATTTATCATCAAACAAATAGGGTAATTTCTATTTCTTCGATTAGTACCGATTCAATTGATGGGAGAGAGACATATGTAGAATAGTACAATTATTGTTAGCATCAGATTCATGATTCAATATTCTGCATTTTGCAACTAGTTCTATGATAAGGTTCAGCCCATCAATCCAACTTATTTCAAGCTTAAACTAGTTGAAATTGAGAAGTTCTTATTAGTTATATTGAAGGTTCTGAATGTTCCCACAAGGACTTTTGGCACATAGTGAAGGAGCATATGGCTGCCCATATTGCACCTTATCCAAATTGTTACCTTCTCCATCTCCTGCTCAACTCAAGGTATAAGGTTTTACACCTACTTTATCCACAAATATTTCTCAAATTTCTTGACCTTTTCTTTTCAAGCTATTGTTTTTGTTTTTGTTTTTTTTAATATTCAATAGTTACATTTCTTGAGTTTTAAAAGAAAGTGAGGATTAATACTCCACTAGACCAAATGGGCATAGACTCCATTGTTTCATAGCTTTAAATTAGTGGTGTTTGTTAAAGTTTTATATTTAATATTAGAGAATGATCAGTTTCTAAATCAGATTTGGATCAGAGCTAGATATGAATTGTGTTGGATTAAGAATATGATAAGTTTTTAATTCAAAATTAATTGGCAATCAAAATAATATATTTGTGAAGAAAAACTTGTGTTGTATGTTACAGAGAATCTAAGATAACACTATTTTGCTATTCTTAACTAATCACATTTTGTCGTAGCGTGATATAGATTCCACTTATTAGAACGTGATTGGATGGAGAGATCCAGTGATATCTCCGTTACTACATGCAAGTTCTTCTCATATTGTTGAGACGAGGGTTATATTTCCGAGAGATTCTACAGTCTCAACAAACTGCTTGCTATGTAAGTATTAGCCGCGGCTTTCAACGGCTACAAGTAAGACCACGTGTGGAAACCGGTGGTTCAACGGTGTAGAACCAAAGCCTAGAGCCAAAGCCGCAGCAGCCGCCTGAAGATTCTCAAAACGGACAGCAGCATACGTGTCACTTCCACTGCCGTTAGATCCAACACCCCACACTCCAATCCAACAACCCAAAACCGCCCCCCTAACTCACAACGTATCGAGAAACAACCGGCCCAGAACGATCCACGTGTCGCTCCCGATGCATTATTACCCCTCTAGATCCAACGGACCCCAACACCGCTGCCTCTCCTCCCTCATCGCTCTCCGACGCAGTCCATCCGATACGCCCAAGAACCCCGATATGGCCGATTCGGACAACGACTCGGGCGGGAACAACGACGGCAGCCAAGCACAGAGCGGGGAGCTGTCGGCGCGTGAGCAGGACCGATTCCTGCCGATCGCTAACGTGAGCCGGATCATGAAGAAGGCGCTGCCGGCGAACGCGAAGATCTCGAAGGACGCGAAGGAGACGGTGCAGGAGTGCGTGTCGGAGTTTATCAGCTTCGTCACCGGAGAGGCCTCCGACAAGTGCCAGAGGGAGAAGAGGAAGACGATCAACGGCGACGATTTGCTCTGGGCGATGACGACGCTAGGGTTCGAGGAGTACGTGGAGCCGCTCAAGGTTTATCTGCAGAAGTATCGGGAGCTGGAGGGCGAGAAGATCACCATGGGCGGCAGAGACAAGGATAGTGCCGGCGGCGGCGGTGGGGGGGCTTCCGGTGGAGGTGTAAGCTCTGGGTCAAGCGGCGGCGGTGGTGGGTATAATGGGGTTTATGGTGGAATGGTGATGATGGGTAATCATCATCATCAGGGACACGTGTACGGTTCTGGTGGTGGGTATCAACAACATCATATGGGTATGGGAAGTGGCGGAGTTAGGGTTGGGAATAGTGGAGGTTCAGGTGGTGGTGGTGGAAATGGTGGAGCTTCAGTTGTGAGGTGACTCGGGTCAATGCAGGTGCTATGCTCGGTTGCTTTACTTAGGGATGATGATTATGATGATAAATGACTGTTAATCTTAATTTAGGTGGGTTAATTCAATTTTCTTGAGTTCTATATAGATGTGTGTCTGTGTGTAAGTGTAATTGTGGGAAAAGGAAAGGGGTATAGTGGGAAAGGACAAATGTATGTATCATATTGATTCTCATGTAGATAGTTTTGATTAAACCCCAATTTAGTTGTTGGACTCTGGTTGGTTCTAAATTCCCAATCTGTTGAAAAGAATGCATGAATCATGGGTTTTGCTTATATGAGCTGAGACTGACAGAGGAGGAAAAGGTCTTTGTATTTGTGCTCTTTTGGAGAAACCATGACCTTAATTAACATTGGGCATTCTTTGTGTGCGGTGTACCAAATAAAGAAATATCCAGGTCCAAATTAGACATGTCTCCGTACTTGTTTCCACATTTGTGTGATTGTAGAAAGACTTTTGTGAAAGGGGATAGCAAAACAGCGATATCCTGTTTCATGTAAGTATTGGTTTTGGTGGATGTACCTGTATGTAAAGAGAAAAATCATTGAAGCCCAACTTTGATGGTTGAAGAGAAAGACAATAACCTGGTGGTGGTAATCTTTGATTAGTTTGGTTTTGAGGGGTTATTGGGGAATTCAAGTTTCATGGATCAAGTGGCTCCATAAATAAACCTATTAACATGTCATGTAGCCGAGTCTATCAGAGAACACCAAGTGGCCAAGTAAGGCTAGGACATTCATATACTGACCCGACCAGGTTGATCGCCCCAGGTATCGCTAATAGGCCTTATAGTTGAGCTTATCAGGGGACGTTGTGCAACTAGAGTTGGGGTGCACATGTACCAACCTGATCAGATTGGCAGCCCCGGGTCCACTGTGATGTCATGTGACCAAAAAGGCAAAAGCGCTCGTATTTCAACCTGACCAAATTCCTGTCACACCAGGTCACTTCACACACCTAATACCAACATGATGGCTGAAAGGGAGCATTTAATGCTCTTCACATCCAAGCCAGGTGTCGTCTTGCTACTTGGTCCCTGATAATCAGCACAATGACTGGGGCCCATAACCACTCTCTGATCCCAACATTGGGAATAGCTGAAGATCTCCCCTTTTGATAGATTTTAGGAGATATGATCTTCCCTTCTCCCTCTATATATACTCTTCACATGCATTGAGACAAAGGTAATAACCATTTTCACCCAGAAACTCTATATCTATTTTCCCCACTAACCAGCCATTAACTTAGCCATCGGATGGGGTTTGACTGGTATCACACCAGCCTCCCCTCTTTTGACGGCCTAGTTGCTTGAAGTGTGTAGGTTGTCCCTAAAGCAACCCAATAGCCCAAGGTATGTTCCTGCCCAAGCCTAAGTCTGGACCCCCGTCCAACAGAACCAGTCTCTATATCAACAAAACCCAGGAAAAAAAAATAACCATCACTAGAATTTGAACTCTATGAATCCTGAAAATTGTAATGGGCACAACATGCATCTCTACTATTTGGGGCAAAAACAAATTATAAATGTGTATATAAAAGTTGTAGTCTCTATTGTTTTTGTACTTGTAAGAATTTAAAAGTTGTTGTATCGGCAGGGCGGAGCTAGAATTATAAGATTGAAGGGGTGAGATAGAAAACACAAGTATATTGAATACATATAAGTGTTTAAAACATATGTTAGAACTAAAATTTTCAAAATTAGTGTTGATGCCCAAAAAATCCATGGTTGGGCCCAAATAAATTATCAGCCCAAAACAACACTCCATTAAGAAAAAGCGTAAAGTGGAGTACATGAAAACTCGCCACATGCAAGTTGTATTTCATGTGTCATGCTAAATAAATTCGCCATGCTAGGGGTTGAGATAAAATATATTGGCTTTACAAGCCCATGTCGAAAATAAACATCGCAGTCCTTTCCAAGGACGATAAAATTAAAATATGTCAAGCGACATGCCATGCCAAGCACAAAATCGTTATCTCATATCCAACCACGCTACAAGCCTAAGTGGGCCCAAGCCACTCAAATGCCTGGGGCTTGCTTGAGTGGGTTGTGGTATGGATGGTACTAAATTGTCCTGAGACCCATTAATGGACCGAGAAGTGGAGGTTCCAGGTTGCTTGGGAGCCTCGAAACCCAAGCCCATTTCTTAGGCCCAAACATATGGGTGAGCACAAAATGGAAAAATAGTCCAACCAAAATAGCCCAACCAAAATGATCCACTAAAATTAACCCATATAGCCCAATATTTGATAGGGGTGGCCCATTTGTTTAGAGGGTTGACTTCCTATCCTAGAAAACCCATACAAATAGAGGTAGCAAACAAACCCCATCTATTGGCTGAAGGATAAAACCATGAAGAAGCCATGGAAGACCACGTTGATTAACAGGAAGGAAGAAACAAGTTTCAAAGCAAAAGAAACATATAAGGACCCAAGGGATATTAGCATGTAAGCTGCCAGGAAGAGAAGCACTCTTCGAACCAGCATACATACCCTAATTCGTTCCCTCATCAGACTTGGCCATGGAAAAAAGAGAAGAAAGCAATAAAAGATATGGCTGTGAATGGAAGTCTGCCATTGAGACAGTTGCGGGAAAAAGAGGCATTGAGCTTCAAAAACTCTGATCTAGTGCAAATAGATAGAAGAGATTTCATCAAAATGGGAAAAGCCATGAGAGGAGATAGAAAGAAGGGAAAAGCTTAGCCAAAATGGGTAGAAGCCATTAGGGTTTCTTGAAAATTGGTGGTTTCCAGCGGCTATAAATTGAGGCTTCTCCTACCTAACAAATCTAACCCACGCCTGGAGAGCAAGCTTCCTCTCTTACCTACAAAAGCCCAACAACCTCGTGCACTATTCACCCTCCCTCCCTATTTTCTTCTTTTGGCAAGCTGCCGGAAGAACATAGTTCTTTCTTTTCCTCTTCTCAACCACATCTGCTTGCAAACCTCTTCTTCTTCACCTCAAACACTCATCTTTCTCCCTAGGAAGCCATATTTCCTTTTTGGTGCTCAACTCATGCTAATTTTGCTTACATGCCACATGCCTCTCATACTAAGCTTAAAAGTTTATCTGTAAGCATCAAGAAATCATCTGTAAGTAGCCTTTATTTTCGTTGGAGAAGGTAACCAGAACGCTTCCTAAGGCTCTACTGCCCTTTCGAAGCGCTTTTGGGGCTTGATTTGGGAACTCAGACACAGGGGGCAATTTTAGCAATTTCCCTTTTACGGCGGCCCAGCCCATTTGTAGCTGCCGGAAGAAAAAAGCCCCTACAATTAGTCATGTCTAGTTGTTTTTGAAAGGACCATTAATTTAAATTACAAGTTGTTGAAGCAAAGAAAATTAAAAGAACAATATTACCCGAAAAAATTCGATGTGAAGTTGTGAACGATTCTTGGGATGAGTCGTGTATTAAGTTGCTCTCTTTAAGACATTTCGCGGCTCTGCCCAATTTGTGCAAGCAGTTCAGAAAAGGCCACTACATCCCCAAGATAAAACAACCCCAGAATCTCCTATGCCTAGGTTCTTCCTTGCACTAAGGAAGGACCTGAATACAAACACATTTCTATATTGCTCAAAAACTTAGTTTAGGAAATAAGAGAAAGATAAAATTTCATGAGATGAAGGGGAAGACCGCAGCAGCTGTTGCGTTGTATTTCTCTTTATGTTATATCATATATATATATATATATTTATATATTTATATATATATATATATGAGAATAAAAATATTAAAAATAAGGAGCAGAAATTAATAATGCATACCAAAGGGCGTATCAATGTATAAATGAAAATAATGCTTAATTGAAAGTGATGCATAAATGAGAGTATTTACAGAAAATTTTGACTAAAATATATTATTCTTGCTTTTATTTTTTCTTTACTTTTGCATTTTCCTTTCTTTCACTTCTACTTTTCTTTTACCTTGTCTTTTACTTCTGCTTTCTTGTTTTTGCTGTTACTAGTCTTCATTAAGATCATATGGATCTTGACTATCTGAGTAATCTACCCATCTGAACTTCTGAGTTGATTCCTTTTGACTGGAAGATGAGGACTGAGATGAAGGAGATCGTGGAGAGGCATCTTTATCATCATCCATCTGGGAGGCTTGAATCAATTGTTGCTTTTGGTCTTCTTTCTTGGAGGCATTGATGAAGATGATGGCCTAATCCCCAGCAGAGTCGCCAATTTATGTAGAGGTTTTTTCCTTCTGGCAGCTACTGGACTGGGCTGCCGTAAGAAGTGAACTGAATGAAATTACCCCATGTGTCTGAGTTCAAAGATCAGACCCCAAAATGTTTTGAAATGATAGTAAAGCCTTAGGAAACACCTTGGTTACCTTCACCAACAAAAATAATGGCTGCTTACAGATAAATTATTAGTACTTACAGGTAGAATCTTAGCTTGGCATGAGAGGCTTGTGGCATGAGAGCAAAATTGTCATAAGTTTAGCACTGGAGAGAAAGTTAAGTGTTCCTAGGGGAAAGATGGGCTATTTAAGTAGGAGAAAAAAGGGTTATGCATAAAGGTTTGGTTGAGAATGAGGGAAAAAAAAGAAAATGGTAGCTTAAGTGCTTTTCCGACAGCTTGACAGAGGTTCTGTCAAGTGTTGGAACAGCCTGCCAAGAAGGAAAACTAAGGAGGAAGAAGGTGAGCTAAGCATGAAAATTACAGGTTTTGGAAGTAAGAGAGGAAGCTTGCTCTCTAGTTGTGTATGGTTTTTGTTAGGTAGAAGAAGCCCTATTTATAGCAGCTGGAAGCCATCTTTTTCCAAGAAACCCTAATAACTTCTATCCCATTTTGCCAAGTCTTTCCCTTCCTTTCTCCCATCATCCCTTCAATCATCATATTTTGGTGAAATCTACTCTATTCCTTTGCACAAAATCAGGGATTTTGGGAGCTTAAGATTCCTTTCCTGCAACTGCACTAGTGAAGAATTTCTATTTTCAGATATCTCCTTTCTTCTCTTTCTTTTCCTCCTTCATGGTCAGATCTGATAAAAGAAAGAAATTGGGTATACATGCTGGTTCGAAGAATGATTCCCACTTTGCGCGCCAACATCCCATGGTTCGCTAAGTGTTTCTTGCTTGAAACTTGTTCCTTCCCACGTGCTGGAGCCTCCCAGTAGCCCTGCACACATGGTCTTTCAATCTTCACCCGTGGCTTTGTTTTCTATCCAGTTGTTGGGGTTTTGCTG